TCTGGGGGGTTGGGGAGCTAGCTGGTGAGTCAGCACTTTGCCAATTGCTATCGATGGCTGACCGGGTTACGCAGACGTTTTGCGAGAAGCACGTTCGCCACGAGCCGCTGTCGTCTTACAAGGCCGTGGCCGTGTTATAAGACGGGTTCCGGGTTCGCCCGCCTCCAACGTTAACATGTGCTAGGCGTTCGTTTCCGTTACTGGCGGAGGCAATCTAAGTATTCAGGTGCCAATGGTCAGTCTCGGCTCAGTGCCTCCTCACCGTTGCCTCGAGAGGGTGACGCGGCAGGCTGCAGCCCGGGGGCTGACAAGATGTGAGCATGCCCGTGTTCAGCGATGAACTTCCAACTGTCTGCGGACGCTGAAAGCACGCGAGCGGAGCGGCTCACAGGTGCAGGAGGTATTAGGTGAATGAGGTTTGCTTTGTCAATCGCCGGTTGCTGACTGGGTTGCGTAGGTGTTTCGTGTGAAGCAGGCCCGCTATGCCATGCATGCAGCCCATGCTATGAATGCTTGCAGTCATACTCGGCTGCCGGTGCAAGCGTGAGGATTCGCCAGGTGATCAAGATGTTGCCACTTGCCGGGCGCGTACGCTGTATTGATACTTGTCTTGTCTCTGCATGCTACTTAAGGAAATGTATACATTTGGCTGACTAGGATGTGTCGATATTGAATGGGCTCAGCTTTCAAGTGGTATTGACTGCATAGGTCCGAGTCCTCAAGGCCTTCAGGTGAAACACCACAACTTGGCGCAACACCCGCCACACATTGGCGCTGCAGTATATTATGCTGGCGCTGCAGTCACGTTACGCTGGCGCTGCAGTCACATGGCATTGGCGCTGCAGTCACGCTGCATTGGCGCTGCATGTCACGCAACTAGCGCTGCATGTCACACATCTGGCGCTGCAGAGTGACTTGCAAGTCACACTTTGGCGCTGCAACGTGACAACGCACCAAGGGAAAAAAAATTGGGATTGGAATAAATGAGCACCGAAGGTACCTTGGGTACCAATGTATATAACCTATGTGAGTTCCCAGTCAAATGTCAACCCCTTCACACATAGAATGCTATCTAAGTCAACTTTCACACTGGGAATTGTTCAATTTTTGCAGCATTTCTGGCCTAAATCACACTGCAAAAGAGGCCATGTCCCTACTACTCATGTATATATGTATCTCTGACAATCACTCAGGCCCAAACAACTCCTTTTTAAAGAGATTTCCACTGGTTTCTGCTACATCAATACATACTGATGAGTGTGAGAAGAAGTACGTCACAATTTTGGCGCTTCAGACGTCACAGTGTGGCGCTGCAAGCGTGACAATTTGGCGCTTTCAGCGGTGAAGCGCCAATTTCTGGTGGCCCGGGCGGAGGCCGCGACACCGGAGTCCTCAAGGCTCAGTATGCTACTGAGGAGTGATGCTTCAAACAACCAGCCCTGAAATACATGAGAATCAAGAAGAATATGTGAGAACGTGAAATTTTACAAATGGTGTCGATGGCGCGGACATTGATGTGATTCCTTTGATGATCGGAGAGTCGACCAAGTGCTGCCGAAAGCTATTACGAAGCTGCCACAGATTATCCGATGTTGTGAGGTCCAAGCTGGACTCGGCAACATGCTGTGGAATTAAGGCGTGCAATTGGGCAAGGGGTTGGTTGAGTGAAAGTTCTGAAAGGCCAGCGAATAGATCGATGTTCCGAAGCGCCACCGCGTACAGTGCCGTCAACGAGGAGTCAAGCCAACAGGAGTTGAGATACCAGCGATAAGAGATTTGAAAAAGCTGGGGTAGAGTTGACTTCTGCGGCGATTTCGGACGTGTCTCGGCAGGAATAAGCTCTGCCGCAGTGTCGGGAGGACGCGAATCAGCCTTCTGAGCCGCAGTTGGAGCTCGATTCTTGCCGCGAGATAGATGTGTTCGACCATATATAGCTGCCGTCTTCTTCCACCGCTGAGGGTCTTCTCCATAAAAGATATGTTGTCCGTCTACGCGTGATTCAGCAATGCTTAGCAGGATAAATCACGGATTTTACGCTTAGCATGCATATATTGGTCTGCGAAAGTATTGCCGGCGCTCACGAGACCTTCCAAGCCCTCGAATAGACTATTCAGACGCTTGACCATCGAGTAGAGACGATGATGCATCGCCTCTTCCGCGTTGGTCGTGGCGGGTAATGAGTAAAACAAGTCTGCGTCCATGGCCATCTCAGCCCGAAACTTGAAAATCATGGACGCATGTTGCGGACGTAGCCACCACGATAGCCAGGGTTCGATCAGGTGGAAGTCTTGGATTAGCCGAGCGGCAACAGCACGAAACGCGTCTGAAGTCTTGCAGTACAGCAGCTCCTGAACACGATTTTCGAAGATAAGGCGTTGATTTGGCGGCACAATCCGAGTTATCTTGCTAACTCGTGAGATTTGTTCCTTGAAATGACGCTCGCAGCCTTTGAGCAGCGCTTCGGCAGCCATTTGAAGGGCTTCGGGCGTTTCAGTGTTCTTCGGATCATCCATTTTCCATTCCACATACGCGCGAATGAACCCATTTCGTTGCGCGTCACTGAAATCGACCACCTGTAGCAATTTCCGTCCTGTGAGCGTTTCGATTGGATGAAATTTCACATACATTGGCCAAAAGAGCGTCTGTAAATGGTGTGCCGGGGCACCGAATTTTATATTCCTTGGCAATACCTTCAATCAAGTGGCGAAAATGAATCGCGTAGTGCTCGGCCGTTGCCCCGTTCGAATAAGACATCACAACGGGTACCCAGCACTTGAGAAACTCGGGCTCGAAGGTCGAGCTGACAAAAAGCAGGTCATTTTTGCCGCGAAAATAATTATGTGCCGCATCCGAAACCGTGCCGTTGATCGCTTCCGTGTCGATTTTGTCCTTGACTGAGCATTTGCACATGAAGGGGGATTGCAGGACAATAACTCGTAGCTTCCCATGGTAGTAAACGGCCACAGTCCAATCAGGATGGGCCTTTTGGAAAGCGGCGATGGCTGGCTCGAATTGTTGATCTGAGGTTTTGATGCCTGGCCGGATGACCTTGCCCCGCTCGTATCGAATGCGATGAGGATTGAGGAGTGCGGGATTGATTTGGGCTACTGACGGTCCTGGCCCACCGACAGCTGCCGCTCCTGTCAAGAGTTCCGCCGGTCCCGCAGTAGGATGTTGCCGGATACTGTCCTATTTTGATCAAGTGTCCGCGTTACGCGTTACATTGACCAAAAAAGTCCTCATCAAAAATCGCCATAAATCGAAAGAAAATTTTTTGGTCCCAAATTTTGAAAAAGTGCCGGACACTTGATCGAAATAGGACAGTAATTCGTTTCGAGCTGGCGGCTTTCGCCCGGTGTGAGTCGTTTAATGTTGGGTGGCTTCGGATGGGAGTGTGTACCGCCGTTTTCGTAGTGAACTCCACCGGCATAGACCCAGTACTTGGATACTACCCCACATGGGACACGGTTTCGTGAAGCGCCACAGCGGCAGAGTTTCTGTACTTGATTTCGTCGAAATTTCTCCTTCGTGTGCGGACGTTCGATGATCTGGCATTGATCATTGGTGCAGCGAATGTACCCAAGGCAGCGGCGTTTCGTGATCTTGCCGCCACGATAATCCACTGCAAATGTTGACCCCTTACTTCCCCCTTCCGTCTCGAAGGCCCAGTTTACCCGCATTTTTAACTCCGTGACCATCGCGAGTGGGTATGTCTTCGACCAATCTCCGTCGGGCCAAAAGTCCCAATCGTTCTCTTGTGCCAATTGGTCGAGTTGAGCCGATTGAGATGTTTCTCCTGCAGGTGTAGTCACTGGTTTTGCCGGAATATTGATGGGAGCAGCAATAGGACGGCCAGCGGGAGTGGTAGTAGTCGACGTTGATTGAGGAGCGGCAGGAGGGATTGTTGACCGTGTCTTATTACCCTGCTCCGGATGGGAGAGAGGCTTCGATGTTGTCGTGTGAGCATCCGAGTCAGACGCGCGAAAGGCAACGACATTGCCATCCTCGTCTAGCAATGCGCGTACATTTTGCCCCGCCAAGTCATGTTCGTTAACTAGGGAAGTTAGCATACACGCAAAGAAAGGAACGTGGTTAGCCAACGCACAGAGCGGAAGACCTCGATACTGTGTGCCAGAGATATCTGACTCCCCAGATTCACTGTCGGTGTCCACATTGCGGCGCTTGCGCTTGCGTGAAGGTGACAGACCAAAGCGAAAGAATCTTCGAAATGTTTTCTGGCGCAGTTAGCACAAGAAACTTGCAATAGGCCTGTTACACACCAGGAGCTCCATTCAGTCAAGCAGACAGACAAAGCGGAGAGAAAAGGAAAGAAAAAAAAACCATCACGATCAATATTGTCGAGGTGATCGAGGATCGTCGGTGATGAGTTCCGGCCGCACAGGAAAATCAGGCACCAGCAAAAGAGAATTGTCTTACTCAAACTACAAGAGGGAGGCCTAAACTTCACTATCGTTAGCGTGCGGGTCATCATCGATCTCTTGCTCTTCATTTTCATCCAACTCATCTGGAGCGTCAGACATAGCTTTTGCGTTGATGTCCACCACTTGAGAAGACACGTCCGCACTCGCTGGACTTGAACCTAGTGTTCGCTTCAGCACTGCAGTCAAGGATTTGAGATTAAACGTACCAGTCTCAACCGAGAAAGCATCAGGCAACAGTGAGGACCAGTCGTCGGCGGTCAGTTCAACTAGACCAGTCGCCGTTCCCGATACTGACTGCAACCTGTGGCTGTAACGGTCATGACTGTGAGTGCCGTGATGCGTGAAGACGACGCCATATCGGAAGACGGAAGCGCCCATCTCGATACCACATGAGCGTTGCGCAAGGGGATGTCCACAGAGACATCGCAATGTGGAATGTCGAGAGCCGTGACGGCGTGGAGGAACGGGGGGCGACGGTGAGGGCATGAGGGCAGCGAGGCGACGAGCAGCGAAACGCGCCAAGGCAGTTGACACGGAATTGTTTCCCTCCCTCCGGCTTTATCGCGTCCGGAGAGCCAGGTCGGCGTCCGGAGAGCCAGGTCGGCGGCCAGCTATTGGCTCACATACCCAGAACAGCGCAAGATTTCCCACCTCCTTCAGCTCTTGACGTCGAAGTTGGCATTGGAGATGGCCGTCGGGCCAGCCGTTCCACTCGGAGGCCTGGAGAGAGCAGTAGACATGGACTTGCGGTGGTTGGAATACAATAGGTGGGGGTGGGGAGACTGTGCTCGTCCGAGATTCGGGTGACTTTGGTGCCAATGCAGCTCCATCAAGGACCGGGTTCGCAGTGACGGGTCCTAGTATACCTCAGCAACGTATAATGAGGTAGAGAAATGAAAACTTACTGGTATTCTCGGATGGGACATCAGATCTTCGGTCTCCGCCGCGGAAATAGCCGATGAGCCGGTCTGTAGTTCCCATGAGCGCTCAAAGGGTTCGTCAGAGTCCATCTACCCACCGTTCGCATCGTAGACTGGCTGAGGCCTAACGCGTTTGCGGCGGATTGGTCTTGCGGTAGCCTGCGCGACGTCGTCCTTCAGGCTGTGAAGACTGACCAAGATATAGACCAGGATGAGGGCGTAGGGAGCGAGGACAAGCTCGCTGGAGACAAGGCTGGAGAGAGCTCGATAGCCAAAGGAAGCCCAGCCTTGAATTTCGCTTCGATAGGCGAGGCCGACAAGGAAAGCGAATGCAGCATTGGAGACCGCCAACACGAGAAGGGCACGCTCCGACATTGCAGGAATATCACCAGCTTAAGCTTTCGCGTCCGAAGAGTGTTTCGATCCGAGTGGAAAAGGAAAGAAGCTGCGTATACTGTGAGTGCCGACAGCCACGTCATCATTAGGATTGCTTACAAGGACCCGAGTTGAGAGTGGCTCCTGGGGCCAATGAGCTCCGAGTGCCGCAAGGGACGAGTAGGAAGTGAAGGAAGGAGTGAAATGGGTGCCGATGGTCGTGGATGCGGAGAGAGAGCTACTAGGATTAGCATAGCCACAGATGCCATCCCATGATGACTAATGTTGCCGAGGCTGCGGAGTCGACTCGAGCTCACACGTCTGGAGCACCATGGATTCAATTTGAATGTGTATTATGGTAGGTTATAGGCCAATACATATCTTGATATCCATTTGGGCCCTTAATAATATATCCAGCATTGCAAAATGGTTGTTGTGCGTCGTTTATACAACAAATTTTACAGTGAAATGCCTATGTATGGGCTGGATAGTGCCGATAGGATGTCACACACAGCCGTGCAAGTGCCGTGTATGCACTGTGCAAGTGCCGTGTCTGTACTGTGCAAGTGCCGTAGGGCACGGCACTCAACCAGGGTAGTGCCGTGTGGGTACCGTGTATGACCGTGTATGACCGTGTACAACCGTGCACTACCGTTCACCAATGTTGTTGTAAGGGGCTTTGAGACTGCTCAAAATGTAACCATAGCCCAGAAACATGGGTTAGGGCATGAATTATATAGACTCTGAGGCAATTTCACCCAAAATGAGTACATTGAGCTGAAATAGGATTCACACATCATTTATTTACTGACAATTCAACATATTATGACTACATATAGCTTGAAAACCCCATTACAATACTCATTGGGGCAAAATTTAGGCAATTGGCACTGCCGCAGCACTTCAACTCGGCACTCGGCACTGCCACGGTACTGCATGGCAGTCATCGGCACTTTGTGGTGCCCGAGCAGATAGTCCTCGTCTGCGAGGAAAAGCGCATACGCCCGGTCGCTCGGGTGCGCGCGGGCCCAGGGCAGGTCGCCCGACACGAGCGCGCAGAAGATGATCGCGAGGGCCCAGAGGTCGCTCGATATGGTAGAGTAGCCCGAGCGGGCGGAGGGATGGTCGTAGTCAAGCGCCTCTGTGAGTCCAAGTCAGTAAAAAATGACACAGAAAAAAGGGGCCACATACCTGGGGACATATACGGCAGCGACCCGCACCCATGGCGGCTCGAGAAGGCCCGCGGGGTGGACAGCCCAAAGTCAGCAAAGCGGATGTCCACGCCGTTGAGCATGCGGTCGCAGAGCACATTTTCCGGCGTGATGTCCCGGTGAAACACGCCCTTGCGGTGCATGTAAGACAGCGCATTCAGCATGCTGTTCATCGCCTGCCTGACCCGGTACGGCCGGTGGCAGAAAACCCGCCCAGACGCAATCACTTTGTACAAGTCCGTCTCCGCCAAGTCGAGCACGATGAACACGAAGTCGTCGGTGACGATCTGGCAGTGGAGGGTGATGACCCCTTGGTGTTTCGAGACCGCCTTATGGTTGCGGAGCTCCTTCGCCTGCAGGCGGGCTTGCGGTGTTCGACGCCGGGAGCGCCACATGCACTTAACTGCCAAGTACTGGTTCGGGGCATCGGTAACGCGGGCCTGGTACACCATCCCATACGACCCTTCTCCCAGCACGCTGACGAGCTCAAGGTTGCCGTCGATAACGGTGCCCGTAAGGTTGCGAAGAGCTTGCGGGCAAGGCATTGTGGTTTGTTATGATGGTTAAACAGTTGTTAATGGTGCGTAGATGGTTGTGGTTAAGAGCTAACAGCCGTTGGTTATAAGACATCTTCCATGACCGCTATTTGAAGACTTACTGCCGCGGTCTCAGAATTGAGACACCGGGGGCAGTGTCATGGACTGCGTTCAGCCACAAATTCCCCTAAAGAATCATGGGGCTAGCGTAGAGGAAAGTGCAACGAGGGATGGCGAGTGTGGTGGTCATAACACAGGCACGAGAACGAGGGCCAATCTTGTGGCGCCAGAAACTTGACGAATTAAAACTGAGCAGGCACAGTAACTCAGCAAAACGCGCTCACTGAAAGGAAGAACGCACCTGGGCTTACGTGGCAGTGGACACTATGCGCGCCGGCCCGGCGCAGCGGTGCAAGCGAAGAGGATTGCGTCGAAGTTTGGATTCGAGGCGAGGTTCCTGGCTGTCATGCTTGCTCAGTCCACTATTAAGAGTCACGTAAGAGAGTCGCGCGGTGGGCTGCAGAGTCTATTAGTATTGAGAGTCGAAGCAAAAGACTGTGCTTCACGCACCCGAATCCTGACTACATGCCGGAAGCATGCTGGCCTGCCCAAAGCCGGACTTCAGCGATACCGCGTATAAGCACGAAGCAACGAAGGCCGGAAAACAGAGCTGAAGCCTGAAGCGTCTACCATAGTCTGTCAGCAGGTACGGGTATGCACAAGAAAATTTTCACGCACATATAGAGCTCCCTTATTGTGGTTCCCTGCCGCAGTCCTGCTGCCCAGACGGCCTTCTCACCCTCCAAATCCATCTCTGGGGCACCAGCGGAGAGGATGGCTTGCGCTCAGCAAAGGCCGGCGTGTCGGTGAAAGGAAAGCCATGGCTGGCGGCGGGGAAAATCACGTCGAAGTGTGGATTCGAGGCAAGGTTTTCGAGTATTCCTGGCGAGTGTGCTTGCTGAGTTCACTGGCCGCTCTACATGACAATGTAGAGTTGCGAAAGACAGCCATATGATGAGCAGTAGTGGCTATTAGGAGAGAATCAGTCGAAGCAATGAGAAGAAATTGAAGACTCCACGCACCAAACCGGGATGTATTCGCTCCAACAGCAGACTTATGCCCTCCCGAGACCATCCCCCACGCTTCAAGCTCGAGCAAACAGTGCTGGAGGGGCGCACATTCGTCTTGCTGGTGATGGTCGAGAAGAAAAAGTGCCAGCGCGTGATTGTCGGGTGTGACACGCCTGCCTTTTCCCATGACGGGCTTCCCACCCGAGCTCCTCGAGGCCATCGTCAGCGACATCCCCCTCGACTGGAGCTACGCGGGCCTCCTCTCCTGCTGCCTGACCGCGCGCGTCTTCCGCGGCATCTGCCAAAAGCGCTTATTCCACCAACTCACGTTTTCTTCAAGCTCGAATCGCCGCGAGGAGAACAAGGCAGCGACATCTGACTCGGACTCAGACTTAGACTCGGAGGCCTCCAACAACGGATTAGACCGGGTGCTCCCCTACTCTGTGGCTGTGGATCTCTGGCGGGAGTCTCCGCACCTCGCTGCATATACTAGGAGGATCATTCTGGAACTATATGACAACAGTCAGAGCGATCCAGCGGAGGGTGCTGCCGCCGTGATGGTGTTTGAGAAGCTAACACGACTGGAGGAGGTGAGGGTTTTCGACGGACGCGAAAACGACACCTGGGCCACCCCGACCGTAAACATGGGCATTGTGGAGGCTTTACTTGAACGATACGCCCGCCCTGGACAGCACAAACTAAAGCGCTTCATTCTGCGCGCCGATGGTTTTCCACATGCCATGCTCCGCAAAACGCTGGTCGTTGCGGACGAAGTCGAATATAGACACGTTACACCTGCGCCGCAGTCTGACTCTGCTATCAATACCTCAGACTCGGACTCCGACCAGCAGAAGTCCCTGGCGGCGGTCCCGAGCGCGCCACTCAGATCATTCAAGTTGATAGTGTTCAAGTTCGCAAGGAATCGAAACAAACTCATGGACGTCCTTTGTCGCCCCGAGTTCATGCCGCATTGGAGCTCCCTCTCAAAACTCTCGCTTCACATTGTGTATGGCCAGCAAGACCTGGCGATCTGTTTCCACGCTGCGGAGGCACTGGAAACCCTCGACCTCAGGTTCTCAGGCGAGTGGAACCAAATTACCTTGCCAAGAACCAAGCTCACTGTGAAAAAGATGATTGCGCAAAGGGCAAGGTACCAGTTGTTCTTCCAACGCACTTTCCGCGTCTCCGGCGGCTCAACATAGATCTCGGAAAGCTGTCGCTCAAGTCATCATACCGCTTTCCCTCCTCGGTCCTCGACATCGTTCATCCATCTGCATGTCCTGTGTTGAAGACCATAGCAGTCCATTATTCCCTCTCCGCAGGCCGCCGCCAGTCCCGCATCTTCGACGATCCGCTGTCATCGCTTGACATAACCAACAGCACCCTCCACCGCGGCTCCTTTGCCGCGCTCGACAACGCAGTCATCGGTCACCCGGCAATAACAACACTCACATTTTTCCTCAGCTTGTCCTCAGATCCAATTCCCGGCGAAATGGACGACGCGGACGACGACGCGCCCATTTGGATATCAGTGATGGGATCCAAGTTTGCGCGGGCGCTCCCTCGCGCAGCAAAAGCCGGTGTTTTGCTCGTTGAGCGTGACTGGTTTGGCGATGACTAGGCGGATGAACGGATGGTCCGATCTGGATGAGCAGAGATGATGTGGCCATCATCGACTTCTGAAAACAGTCGCGCATTCTTTCATACTTTTTTGTTTTGGTTCTATTTTCACTTTAATGCTACTTACTGGTAGTACTGAATGATGCTTCCAATTCCTCTGCATAGCCCGTCCTCGCCGAACGCTGCCCGGCCCATCCCGCCCGCCGCTGACTCGTGCGCGCTGTCGCGTATGCCGGGAGCGTCGGTCGGCGGATCCGGAGCCTGACTCCGGAGTCCGCTACAGCAGGCTGTAAGTCCCCAGCGCGCCACAGTGGTTGTCGGACGATGTGATCCCGTAGACGCCCGTTCGCCGCGGGCTGCCGTGTTACGTCATATTCTGCACTGCCGGCCCATGTATACCGCCCTTGCCATGGAGCAGCCGTGCTAACACTGTGTGCGCATCGAGCAGGGCGGCTTCGTTGCCGGGAGCAACGGCCCGAGCGCGCCAGTCGTGCCGGCCGTGTCCTGCAAAAACATTAAGTGTGTGCGTCCCGCCCAATAGGGTGCTGTGAGCTGGAAGTGTTTCGAAACCCGTTTCGAAACGGTTTCGAAACACCCGTTAGTTTTGAAATGTGCCGGGGGTTGCCCCGGTTTCGAAACCGGCACGTGCTTGCCCGGCATGCCCGACCTCGGCTATCGGCGATTGCCCGGGTGGCCAACCATCACCAGACTGGCAGCTCCCCTACGGGAATGGCTTGGGAATGGCTCGGCTGTGGCGCCACCCCTTGGCGTGGACCGGCATGCCAATGTTTGACATGGGATCTTGGTTGGCACCTCGGCCGGCTGCTGACGGAGCGGTCCGGGTCCGGTAGCCGGCCGGTTTCGAAACAGTTTCGAAACACCCCTGTTTCGAAACCGGTTTCGAAACAGCTGTGAGTAATTCCCCAGGAATTACTCACAGCACCCTACCGCCCAATCCATGGGCCTCCTCCCGCCCAGGGCCAGCGCCAGCTTACAATGTTTCTCCGTTTTTCTGTGCTCTTTTTAGGAGAAAAAAATCCTTTTGACACAAAGACAAACACACTGAGGCCCGCTCTGAACAGGCGCCCTCCGTCTTGCCTCTGTCTGCATAGAGAGGCTCTTCATATGCCACGTCGGGCTGCGCTTGTGGCCGTATATAGTCCCATATGGGGGACATACTGTAAAAAAAGTATTTGATACATGTTTTACACTGGATACAACTTTTTGAAGGTACAACTCACCTTTTTTAGAGTTTTTAGATACAACTTTGCAAATTAGATACAACTTTTCACCCTGTGTACATGTACAAGTCAACCTCAAAGACAGCTTTTCTGGTGACATGTTTTACTTTGACTGGTGACAAGTTTATACTTGATGACAACTTTTCTGGAGACATGTTCAACTTCTGCAAGTGCAACTTTTCTGACTGCTGATAACTCATAATAAGCAGACAACTTTTCCAGCAACATCTTCAACTTTCTTGAATACAACTTGGTTTTTCATTTTGAGTACAACTTTTTCAAGTGCAACTTTCTTTCTGAGGTACAACTTTTTCAAGTGCTACTTCAACCTAGACTGGAACAACTTTGTAAATCACAACTTCGCAAGATACATGTTGCCAAAGCCTCTGGTACAACTTTTCTGGGCCTACATACAACTTTTTCAGACAAGGTACAACTTCAGTTACTGCATCACTTGCCATCAGCGGCCATCAAAGGTGATCATAAAGGCAGTGGTAGAGCAAAGCATGTTTAATGTGTTTATCTGATCCGCTGATGATATCAGTGATGGCTGGCCAAAAAAGTTCAGATTGCATTCAAATAAACTGCATACAGAAATAAAGTTGTCCTAGGAAAAGTTGTCCAACTGGCTAGTTGTATGCCCAAAAAGTTGTACTCAGGAAAAGTTGCATTTTGGAAAGTTGTACATAATGACAGGTTGTCTTTGCCCAAGTTGGACTTGTCACAGCCAGACTCAGGTTGCCCCACCCAGGAAAAAGTTGTACCTGAATTAGGGCCAAAGATGTCTTATTAAAAGTTGTAGTTGTCTTTGGCCAAATGAAAAGTTGTTTCTGGACAAGTTGTGATTCTGGCAGTTGTACATGCTTCCAAAAAAGTTGTATCCCCAAAGTTGTACATGCTCTCAAAAAAGTTGTCTCATGTTGGAAAGTTGTACTCAGACAAGTTGTACATGTTATTGGTGAAGTTGTATCTGACAAACATGTAGTTGTAGTTGATATAGAGTTGTATCATATTTTTAGCTGTATTTTACCTAAGTTGTCTCTAATCTTTTTTTACAGTATGTCTCCCATAGTCCCAC